AAATAAATTATGATATCAAATTTTCAACGGTCTTATTTTCAGTAGAGACAACTGGAGAGTTGGCTATGAATTAATTTCTAACTACTAACCTACAGACAGATTGCTTACGGACTCATAACAATCTAAAACACAAAATTAGATCAATAAGTAGACGCAGCTTTCAGTGGGTCAGGAAACCATTCACCTGTCTAAAGAAAGAATTTACCAATAACCAGCACCATTTCTTATCCATCCTTAAAAATAGCGGGTACTAGAAACAGACTATTCTTCATCTTGGGAAAAAAAAGACAAATTGCTAATTACCTGTAAATAGGTAGACAAATCTATGCAACATATAAATAATTCTAATTCTAGATTTATAGAAGACATATAAAACCATGTAACACTCAAAAACCTGACAGAGGCCACAACTGTTCATGCGACTTCCTTCCTTAAATCATCAGAGGTGCAGGTCTGCTATATTACAGGTCTCATTTGCCAAGCAATCCGCTTTCATCACTCGTTAAATGATTCACAAAGAGTTACTGCATCCATCATGGCTTTCAGTCTCCACAACCGGAAACAGGACCCACGGATCTGATTGGTAACTGACATTCTCCCTGCACTTCCTATTGACATATCAAAAAGTCAGGGAGCATGTGGTCACTTCAAGACTCCAGAAACACTTTCAGAAACTATTTCATTCATTTTTATTACATTGTAAATGTAAATTACAGAGCTCACATTCAATTTCACCTATAGAAAAATTACTGGTTACTACTTGCAAATTATTCTTAATCTTCCTGTGGACACTAATAGTGTGAGGTAAGAATTACAATACATTATAACAGCTTTGAGTTGCTTATATCTAAGCAGGAAAAAGCATTATTGTAATAACCTGAAAAAATGTCTTTTTTTCTCATGCACTTGAATAAAAGATTAAAATTCTAAAGCTATACACTCATCTGATTATCAAGATGGTAGATAGGGATGCTGGTTTGATTTACTGAACACGTATATGACTGGATATTAATAAATCCGAGTTTTGTACCTTGACCTCACTTCTGCAACCCACCTGGAAACACAGGAGCGGAAACATTTTTTGGACCAATTTTGGACAAAATCATTAGAATATCATTATCAGTGATATAAAATGATGGGTGAGATGAAGTTCAACAGTAATTTACATTTACTTATTTCTTAGGAACTTATTTTTGCAGTTGTCTTTATGATGAAATGCAAAAATTGTACGGAGCAAATATAATCTTTTATTTAAATATATGCCTACATTCTAGCACTCTGTGTTATGAAATTGAAGAAAGGCCTGCACAAAATGTTGTCTGACTGACATCTCTGAACAATTACATACAAATTTGCAGTGTAAAAAAGGCCAGGACCGAGGCTTGATTCCTTTGCTTTAGATCACCAGGATGCCTGCTACTCAGTGACAGCAAATAAATTTTGAATTTTTCTCATTTTCGCATATCACATGAATACACGATAACAGCTTTCAAGGATTATCAGCAGCTGACAGATTATGTAAAAATTAGTCTTGAAAAAAAGCCCTGCCAACTATCTTTCAAAATAGTATTTATTAAAAAGTGTTCTTTGTCCAAAAAAAAAGATACAAAACCCCCACTTCCATCAAATTTATGTTTGAATTTGCACATGATGGCATCTCACATCTTAAACAGTATTTAGAATTCAGTAGCAAATGGTCAAAGTAACACACTCGCTAATGAGTAAATACTTGAGCCCTCAAACACATGAAAGGCACGGAAGCATGCGCACATCATAATTCAAGCTTAACTGCACGTAAAATTCCTCAGCTCTCATTATGTTCATCCTCGGCAGTGTTTGTATCACAGAAATACATTACAATAGTGTTTACTTGGTTCTTTAGAAGATCTGTAGAATAGCTTTGACAGTGCTGCCACAATGGTTTTCTTTCACAAGCAAATAAAAAGCAGTTGCACTCTAACCACTCAGTATTATTATTTCCCTCCCAGTCCATTTTTTCTTTACATGTGAGAGCATCTCCATACACTCTCTAATTACTGAAAAGTCTTACAGAATCTGCAAAAGTCAAGGGAAATAAAGTACAACAACCATTAATTCCTTACAGGTTTGAAAATACAGTACAGTAAAAGAGTCAGGCTTCATCAGCACACAGCAAAATATACCAAGGTAGGAAATCTAAAGGACTTCTGGACTTAACTTTTGGGAAAAAAGATAAAAAGAAATTTGAAGTCACTCACTAACTTGAAAAATACCTTAAATTATTCTTGTAGGCTAGCAAAAACTGGAAAATAGGAAAAAGGGAATGGATTGAATTGTATACATTAACAAATTTGAATGCGTATCTATGACTACTTTTTGGCAGCAATTAATAAGATTTCTTTGTAGGATACATGTTGAGATTGTAATGCAGACCAGACCTTTCTCTGCTAAAGCTTAGGACCTATCTTTTACCCCTGATTATTACAGTCCATAATTATTAGGCTGGTTTGTCTAAGAAAGAAGATTTTAAAACCCATGTTGCCAGAAATCTGGTCACTTTGTATAGCAGTCTGAGAGGAGAAGTTTTCCATTTTGCAGGAAAACACAACTGTGGCAGCATTGAAAAAACAGTCAACAGAGGCAGAAGATAATCACATGAGCTAGGGAACACACATCATCCTTAATCCAATTAAAAAAAAGATATTAGGCACAATCTCTGTTGCCTGATATAGCTCCTAAAAGAGATTCATGAGGTGAAAATGCAATTGAGCCCAAGGACTACGAAGACTTAGTACAGAGAGTGATCGAGACATGGGCAAAGAAATTATGCAAACAGTTAATTATCTTGCAATTGAAGAATGTATATGGAAGAAGGATAAACAGAGGAAATGTTAAAAACAAAATACCTCTAAGACAAACTATGACTATGAAGCAGTAAAGGAGATGAGCTGGAGAGTAAACAGAGCTATAGAACAGATTTGCTATGCTGAAAAGCCAAAAAGAAAAGCCGAAGAGCATGAGATGATGGGATGGTGAGAGAGAAGTGCGGTCAATCTAGAAAGCACAAAAGTAAGGAATTCACCCAGGATATAAAGGAAACCAGTAAAATTTGAATGCCTGAGATGACCAGCTGAAAACATATGCAGAGCTATTAGAAGACAGAACAACATCCTAACTCTCCCCACTCCCCAAAAATAAACACACCCCAACACAGGAAAAAAAAAATCCCAAACCAACACATGTCCAGTTTTGCATTCTAGGAGTCTGACTACTGAAAAAATAAAGACAGGTGTGACTGACCACGGAAGAAAGCTCAGAGGAGATGGGCCAGGTCTATGTGCCCATGAAACTCATGGAATAATGCGGGGTTTTACTGATCAGAGTTGTCGTGAAGAAATTTGACTTGATCTCGACATCAAGGAGACCCAAGGGTGGTCTTTTGCTTTAACTAAACAGCTATCAACAGCTGAATGAATCAACTGGTGGTGTTTTTTCTTCCAAGTTCATTAAGAATGTGAACGTCTCCCCCAGTTAGTGAAGACAGCGTGGGGGAGGTGTCTACATGGCTCAACTTAACATAAAGCCTATAAAAATGTAAACAACTAACAACAGAATTTAAAACACAGCAATGGGCTTGAGCTGGCTTTAACTCACATATGTCTCCCCGGTGAGAATGAAGACACCCAGTGTCCTGACAGTGAGTGTATTAGGGAGATGTTGGGGATCACACTGGTATTGTGATTGAACTGTGTATTGCAATTGCTACACTCTGCTATGTATAACTTCATTCGTATTATGTTTCCACTACGTTTTGTATCACTCTGCTTATTCAGAAATCCCATCAACTACCTTCAAATAAGTAAATCTGATGTTCAGCGTGACACCTTCCAGGTGTGGAGTATCTAAAAGAATCTGGTTAGAGAGAACTGGACTGACTCTGAACCTGGTCAGTTACATGAGGAGTCAGAACACAAACAAGCAAACTCTCCAGGAAAATGTATGAAGTGTATCTGTAAAAAATACTCCTAACTTAATTTAGGACACATGCAGAAAAAGACAACTGGGATGACTAATGCAGGATCTTTCAATAAAAACATATTTTAAAAAAAATCTAGGCTCATGTAGTCTAAACAAAAAGTTGAGGGGACACAGCTCTAACTAAATACAATGAGAGGTTGATGGTCTTCTTCTGAAGCATGGATGTGGGCCAGCTTCAGATCATAGGCCAGCTAGTCATGTTTAGCTAGCACGCAGCTGCTATAGGGGGCTAGAGCACTGACAATACCTTCAGCTTTTTCAACAGTACCATGCATTTGGGGATTTTTGACCAGAGAAGCTGTGTCTTCTGGTCTCTTACATCTGTTACAGAGTAAAAGGAAGCATTTTGTAGATGTTGACATTTCTAATCTCGTGCCAGTTGATCACAGTACTATCAAGGACTGGACTCAACGGCATAGGCAATCCCTTACTACATCCCATGTTCCTGTAGATGGCGTGGCAAAGCTGTTTTTCTTTCCTCCCTCGTGGAGGGAGGGCAAAGGGAGAATTTTTGAATTCTTAAATCACAAGGCACTTCCAGCATTAAGTGCAATGATTTTTAAAGCATCCATTCCTATATGATTTAAAGCATGCATTCCTACAGTATACGACATCTGAAAGACTAAAGACTAAGATAATTTTTCTCCTAATTTTTAGTATTTCCACCTATGCACCCATCCGGTCTTTACAAAGAGCTCACTGCATCTTCAGTTATCAGCCAAGCTCTACAGCTCTTCAAGACAGATTGTTGTCTTACACAAGTCGGGTTTTCAGAAGAGGATGTTCTGCGCACATTCTCGTCTACATACTAATGATGAGACTGCATCAGTTACAACAGCACGCTAATATATGATGAAATTATGCCAAAACATATTCACAGAGCCCTTTAGGGAAATCCCAATGTCAGTAAAAGTGGTAACAAAATCGCCGGAGTTTCTCTTTTGTTAAATTACACCAACAGGACATTTAAAAGTCATACCTACCTAAACTGTTACTGCTGCTAGTTGGCCAGGAAGCTATCCTATCCCTTAACTTTCTCTTTTTACAAGAGTCATCCAGTTTCACAGAAAGCTCCACTTCCTCCTTCCTGATTTCTTGCACCAGTTCCATTCGGCACTGATTAAAATCCTGGAAGGAAATTTTTCCATTTTCGTCTGCTCCCAGCTGGTGCATGATCTCCATGACAGATTCCTCCATATTCAGCTGGCGGCACACCATCAGTAAGTCATTCCTAAGGATATTTTTAGAGGGAAAAGTGGGGCAGGGGAAAGATGGAAGTGGAAGAAAGATTGGAGAAGTGGGAACAGAGAAAAAAAAAACAATTTAGTTTAGAAGAAAAGGCACACTAACTCTGTCTAATATGGAAACGTCTTAGTGCAGAGACATTTAAACCCAGTAATTCAACTACTGTTTTTTGTTAATCCAAAACAGAAACTATAAGGTTGGCAAGAAATTACAAGACAGGAAGACTATGGAAAAGAGAAGAACATTTTTGTTTAAGAGTTACATCTATTTTCACACCATTTCTAAAACTTCTACTAGCAGAGATGAACCCAAGGGAGAGCTGAATCCTGCTGTTGATCTTCACAGCATCTTCTGAAACAGTGACACAATAAGAAACTAAAAAAATATCTTCTGACTAGTCCAATGGTTACTTAAATTTCCATTTTATCGAGGACAGGCCAAGGAGATTTATTTTTTTTTGCTATGGAACAGCAGTAAGCTGAAGAGGAGAACACATAAAACCAAAGAAAACAGCACATAAGAGAAATACTATTTCAACTAACTGACTTCAAGGCTGTCACCATACATTCTGACTACAAAACACTCTTAAGAAGCTTGCTTGGTCCAGCTGTTTAATGTAAACTCACAAAGAAATGGGAGGAGGGACGTACAATGAAAAATAATCTGGCAACCACTATGAGCGGGCAAAAAGAGAGCTGCAACCAAATCAATACAGAAGTTACTTACATCACACAATACATTTACAAACTTATACAGTTTGTTGGTAGGAGAGATGCATGAATTGACCTTAAAGATACTATGTAGGCAAAATAAAAAAGTCAGCAATGCTATGACCAGTATCCTTTTTTATTTTATGTGAAACAAGAACCTCAAAAACATACCTTAGGCTTAATTTGGGGTATAACACTAGTCTCAAAAGAAAATATTCTAAGAGTTTGTCCCCCACCATGTTGTCCGTCCCCTTCCAAAAATGAGGTAGGATGAAGTATTTTGAAAGAATTTTCAACAGTAGCAGGTGGTAAAAAAGAAAAACAAAACAAAAAAATTATGATTCAGAAGTTGGTAACTAAATAAAGAAGTGTGAATAATCACTAACAAATATGCTAGGGGAACAACAGGAAAGAGCATATTGGATGTGAAATGGTTATGAATATAAGTGGACTATCAGAAAAACACCCAATACTCACAGCAGTGACAGATACGCAAATCAGTGAAATCTCTCAGTCACTGCTTCATCAGATACTACATCAATCCCTCAGAACAGGCAGGGTTTTTTTGAAGATATTATCACGTTGTTTTTCAAAATGTAAACTACTTTAAAAAAAACAGTGCTGTTCTTAGGCAAATGTATCTCTGCAACTGCAAATCCAGACCAAATCATCTTCCTGAGTACACAGAGAAAGCAATTCTGCTCTTTTCCAGACGCTCATAGTTTTCAAAACCAGCAGGAGACAAAGTTCATAGACTCAGATCTGCCTCATTCTGCTGCTACGCAGAAAGTCTCAGTCACCAAAAAAAGGGAGAGCCCAAAACACACTCCTCCAATAGACGCCGCTTCCTGTTCCTCTCCTGTCTAGCCCTATCTCACTCTAGAGAGGAAGAGGCATGAGGAAAGAGAAAAACAATCACGAAACAACTTCTCCAGCAACTGAAGGATGGGAGATACTTTTTTGTCAAACGACAGCTACTCATTCTAAACAAATGTGGGTAACTCAGTTCAGGTACATCTGAAGCAACAGCAGCTCTATACTATCAAAACTTCTTGGCTTCTTGGTGTCTCATGTCTCTCCAATTTCAAAAGTTTTTTAAAAAAACCACTACTCTGTCACTCTCACACTTAACTACTTACTTCCTGCCACCCTCTTCTTAAACAGGTTTTGAGTTGGATTGCATAATACTACCACACTGATCCATACCACAAATAGTATGAATGTCGTGGCTTCTTTAGAGCTGTCATGGCTTATATTTATGTTGTACAAAACCTTCTGTAGGAGGAAGGTAAAAGAAATGTGTAGTAATGTTAGTATTACGTGAATTACTAATTAGCAGTATTATTATTTCACTACTAATATCACAGAATCATAGAATATATTAGGTTGGAGGGGACCTTAGAGATTATCTAATCCAACCTCTCTCTCGTCGGCAGGGATACTCTTAATTAGACCAGGTTACTCAAGGCCTCATCCAACCTGGCCTTAAACACTTCACGGGAGGGGGCATTCACAACGTCTCTGAGCAATTTATTCCAGAGTCTTGCCACGCCTGTACTGAAGAATTTCTTCCAAAGAGTCAATCTAAACCTATTCTCCTTGAATTTAAATCCATTTCCCCTTGTCCTGTCACTGGACACTCTTGTAAAAAGTCCCTCCCTAGCCATCCTGTAGGTTCCCTTCATGTATTGGAAGGCAGCTATTAGGTCCTCCTGAAGTCTTCTCTTTGCCAGACTGAACAATCCCAGCTCCCGCAGCCTGTCCTCGTAGCAGAGGTGCTCCAGCCCTTCGATCATCTTTGTGGTCCTCCTCTGAACATGCTCCAACAGATCTATGTCCCTCTTATGGTGGGGACACCAGAACTCAATGCAGTATTCGAGGTGGGGTCTCACAAGAGCAGAGTAAAGGGGGAGAATCACCTCTCTCGACCTGCTGACCACGCTTCTCTTGATACATCCCAGGATGCGGTTGGCCTTTTGGGCTGCATGAGCGCACTGCCGGCTCATGTTGAGCTTCTCAACACCCCTAATTTCTTCTCTTCAGGGCTACTCACAACCCACTCTGTGCCCAGTTTGTATTTGTGCCTGGGACTGGGCCAACCCACAGGACCTTGCATTTTGACTTGTTGAACCTCATGCAGTTTGCACTGGCTCATTTCTCAAGCCTGTCAAGGTCCCTCTGGATGGCATCTCTTCACCCAAGTGAGTCCACAGCACCACACAGCTTGGTGTCATCAGAAAACTTGCTGAGGGGGCACTCGATGCTGTTGTCCATGTCGCTGACAAAGATGCTGAACACCACTGGACCCAGAACAGACATGGCCAGTGTTCCCGGACCTGATCTGCTCCTACCCTGGGTGGTTCTTCACTCTCCCAGACCCAGCCAATGCCCTCTGTCACTTGGGTAGTGTGGCTCAAGTGGTTATCAGGGAAGACTGAAGCAAAAATGTCATTGGCTACTTCAGCCTTCTCCATATCCTCAGTAACCAGGTTACTCGTATCGCTCCAGAGAGGCCCCACCTTCTCTCATTTTTCTTTTTTCTTATACATACCTGTAGAATTCTTTTCTGTCATTTTTTATGTCCCCAGAGGGATTTGATTCCATCAGGGCTCTAGCTTTTCTAAGCTGGTCTCTAGTCTCATGACTCACCTATTGGTGAGAACAAGGTCTAGCATGGCACCTCTCTTCATTGGTTCCTCTCCTCCTTGGAGAAAGAAGTTATCATCGATGCATTCCAGGAATCTCATGGATTGCTTATGCCCTGCTGTGCTGTCTCTGCAACTGATACCGAGGTGGTTAAAGCTCCTCATGAGGACCAGGGCTTGTGAATAAGCAGCAACTCGTATTGTTCATGAAGGACCTCATCCACTTGGTCCTCCTGGTCAGGTGGTCTGTAGCAGACCCCCACTGTAACGTCTCTGACCCTTCCTTTCACCCTGGTCCACAGGCATTCGGTCTGCTCATCATCCCTTGTCAGGTCTAGCTCCATGCATTCCAGCTGTTGACTGACATAGAGGGCAACACTACCTCCTCATTTCCTCTGTCCGTCCCTTCCGAAGAGATTATACCCTTCTAATGCAACACACCACTTTTAAGAATCATTCCACCATGTCTCTGTGATGCTGATTAGATCGTAGCACTGCAGGCACACAAGCATCGCCAGCTCCTCTTGTTTCTTGACCATACTGTGTGCATTCACGTAAAGGCATTCGAGCTGGGCCCCTGGTGAAGTACCTGAAGCCCCCGATGAAGTACAGCTACACTTCAGCTGGGCTAATGGTGTTGCTCCCAATGTTGCTACACCTTTCCCAGGGTCGTCTTCCCATGATATGGTTGTAACCCCTTCCCCCTTCACAACTAGTTTCAAGTTCTCTCAATGAGCAGCACCAGCTCGTGACCCAGGATCTCCTTACAGTCATCTGAGCCCCATCTTGTTTCAGTAGGCCAGCTGCTGTGTAGAACTCTCCATGGTTGAAAACCCCAAAACTAGACTGTTGGCACTACCCTTTAAGCCAAGTATATCTGAACATCATTCAGTTTTCTGTGAAAATATGATACAAGGAAATATCCAAAGTTCTTGCACGAACAGTTTCAGTAACTTATTATCACAACCAACGTCCACCTATTCTACAGAAAGAAGCTGTAAATTGGGTAAAGCTTTCTTAGTCTGTTCCACACAGGAATTCCTGCCCTAACAGAAGAATTCTTGGCAGAGATGTTCACAGTAAAACTGGAGCATAATGATAATTATATTATGTATTTTCACAAATAGATAGCTAGATGAAATTTTCACTTAGGACACAAACCAACTTTATTCTAAATATTAAATTAAATTACATTGGCCAAATATAAGTGATTGACGCTTGCAGTTAAAATTTTGCTCAGAGCTCCGTTCTTAGTATTGAATCCAGTCAACAAATAAAGAAATTGTCAAATCACAGAATCACAGAAAATGTTGGGCTGGAAGCGACCTTCAACAGTCATTCAGTCCAAGCCCCCTGCAGTGAGCAGGGACATCTTTAACATAGAATCATAGAATGTGTTGGGCTGGAATAAATACTTTTAGCATAAGAGTGCTGTAAAGAAAAATAAGGATGACAAAGCATTCGGATTCTTACAAGAGGAATGACAGATACAATTAAGCTATGTCTACATGTGTTCTCTTATAACAGATCTGATAGAGCACCACAGACTGAGGGGACTTCTCAGAGGATTCATAATTTTGAAATAAGTGTCAGAAGAAGCAGTATAGAGCAATGTTGCCAGGGGCTTCCAGGA